CACGGTCCTGCTTCTGCATATGAGGCAGACTTTTTGTCTAGGCCGGACGATCTGTTCGCAGATTTCATGTGGAGGAAAAATTATGCGACTAACCGGTGCAGGTTGTTTCTCTGGTTGGCGCACCGTGGAAGATTGTTCACTAATGATCGCAGATTCCGTCGTGGCTTGACCGACTCGGCATCCTGTCTGTTCTGTTCAGACACATAAACCACTTCACACATGCTGCTTCACTGCGCCGTCGCTTCTGACACTTGGTTAACCGTGGACTCCCTCATCAACCCGGCCGAATGCTCAACCATCAACGACCTCCAGAACCTTCAGCATTCTTGCAAGGTCCGGAACACGGTTATTTTGGCTATTCTCTGGAACCTTTGGAAAAGAAGGAATGCAAAAGTTTTCAACCATGAAGTGCAATCCCTGGGATCCGTCCTCAAATGTGCGGCCGAAGACCTCTTCCTCTGGGCCAACCGCTGCCCCAACGAAGACCGCAAACAGACCTTAATTGATTGGGGAATAATGTTGTCCCGTCTCGATGTAACCTAGTGTTTCGTTATGTTTTCCTCTCCTCCGCCTCCCTGTATATATTCTCTGTTAAACTCCAAAATTAATAAATGAGTTCAGGCTGGCTTTGCCCGTCGTAGTACCCTAAAAAAAACGTAAGGAGGAGAGAAGCAATGCAAACGTGATTAGCACTACTCTAATTTTGAGTTATTTACAGGGAAAAATGCCCTTACATGCGAAAATACTAAAAATAAGAGGTTGTCGTCCTACCAAGCTCAAAACAAAAAAAAATGAATGATGGACTGAAGAAGAACATACATAATCAAATACTCCCTCTGTCTCAAAATAAGTGACGTGGTTTTAATTCAAATTTAAACTAAAACCAAAATAAGTGACGTGGTTTTAATTCAAATTTGAACTAAAAGCACGCCACTTATTTTAAGACAAAAGGAGTATAATAAGTCATATATATTTTGTAAATTTTAGTTATCATGCTTTCTACACAAATTTACACTAACCAATCCCCACAGCAACGCGCAGGTATCCGTTGCGCATGCACACAGCCCGGATTGACTCAGCTAGGTGATCTTTCGGTGTGTGAGGCCTATCTTTCTTGAGATTCCAAGCTCATGTGAGTGCTTTGACTTGAGGGCTGATGCTGGAGTATTGTCTTCCTCAGACAACCTGAGTTGGCTGCTGGTTTATGTGACTAATTATACTCGAGCTAGTTTGCCTCGTTTGACTAGATGCCGTTGACTATTTGCTCATTCACTTGTGTATTCTGTCCATAGTTTATACCCTTCTACTCTGCTTTCTGAAGTTAAATTAGTAGCCAGTGGTGTACAAACTTCTACCACAGGTTAAATTTGCAGATCAAACTGATTTCAGAGGAACTTGCATACGTCAGGGATGATTCAGAATATAAAGACGAACCTTCATGCAGGCATGATGGCTAATTAAGTTGATCAGACTGAACACTTGCCATCCACTACTAAACAATTCAGAGTCTCAGTACTTTTTTTTTTGAATGGTCACCGGGGGAGGGCAAAGCCCTCCACCTGAATATATTCAATCGAATTTGCCTAGAAGCCTCGCGGCTCCATACAAGATAGGTTCAAATGAACCAGAGTACACGGGGAAAACAAGAGAAGAGAAGCAACCGAAAACACACACACACACATCCAACAGAACCACCGGAAGACCCGCCGAGAAAAGGGCACACAGGGAGAAGAAGGCCTTCCGACAATCCGGAGCTGGACGCACCAACACCACCGACCGCCATCACAAATCTCATCAGCACAACCCGCCAGGAGGAGGACCTCAACTTACATCTTCATCTGACCAAGCAAGGAGAGCCTTGAACGTTGGCCGTCTGGTCGCCACCCAACAACACCCAGCAGAGGTAGAGGTGCCATATGGGAACGAGGTGATCCATTGAGTAGGATAACGACCCCGCTAACCCGGCTTCGGATGAAAATCAGAACCAATCCAGAGCAAGGCTGAGCCATGATCTCGCATACAAAGCACCACCTCCTCACCAACAAAGCACAAACCACCAACAGCGCTAAGCCGGCCGCGCCACCACAACCGTCAAACCCGCAGCGAGCAGCCACCACAGAGACCAACCGAGCCTAACCCAGACGATGCCTTCAAGAAGGGATGCGACACAATGTGCGCCGCCATCGTCCATTCCAGATGGGCTTGGAACATGGGTTTCCCCTGGGATGTGAAGGGGCAGTCACCATGACAGCGCCGCCTCCAAGGAGGTTAGCCGCGCCCGCAGGCGTCGCCGGCGCCGGCTCTGGCAGGAGCAGGGGCTTTCGCCCAAATGAGCAGACCACCTCCAATAAGCATCGAATTGACCTCGTAGCACCGCTCCCTGCACCACCACAGAGAAGGGCCACTGCAGCCCCATCGCCACACATGACCAAATCCGGGTCGCCGCAGGCCAGATCCGGCAGGATCCAACCTGCCCCCCGCCGCTCCCCACCGGATCGGGCCAAGCCGAATCCGACAGGCGCGCCGCCCACGCCCGCACCGCCAGAAGGCAGACAAGCCAGAGCGGACGGCGGCGCCTCGGGCAAGGGCGAGCACCGCCACCCCGCGCCTCACAGCGACCTCCGCTGAACACAGCTGAGCCGAAACCAGCAGCCATCCCCGACGCCCACCGGTCGCCAGCAGTAGGGAGACGCTGCTTCGGGGAAGGCCAGCGGAAGGGAGCCGCGAACGCATCCGCCCCACTGTCTCCGACCACCACCAGCAGAAGCGACGCACGCCGGAGTCACGTCGCGCCGCCCGCCGCCCCACGGAGCTCCCCCGGCCCGCGAGCGGTCTGCACGAGGAACGACGGCCCGCCGCCGCCAGATCCGCGCGGGCTTCG